CCCCCTTTTTCCCTCCTTTTTTTCTCCCTTTTATTTCTCCCCTTTTTTTTCTCCCCTTTATTTCCCCCCCCCCCCGAATTTCTCTTAGAAACTACTCAATGGATGTATTTCAACTTTGGCTCTCATACTTAAATGCATCCTCCAGCCATGTCGGGGTGTGGGGGGCGGGAGGGGGGTGTGGTTATTTGGTATTTGAGGCTGTTGCAGTTAGAATTTTAAAGTTGTTTTTTTTTGTTTTTTTTAGAAATTATTCAATATTTTTAAGTAAGAATTTTTCATGTTAACTTACAAATATGTTAGACCTGACTTCAGAATTTATGTTAAACCATAAACGGAATATTGCACGATAGATCGGGCTCAAATGAATGTGATGAAATATTGCGTACTGAATTTTGATGAAGATGACAATTTCAAAAAATAGATGACAGTGGCTATGAAGAAGAAATCAGATTTAGATTTGTCTTTGCAGGTGGACGTTCTGCTACAGTTATCAATTGAAAATTTGGCATACGTTCAGAAAGAAATTATCTGCAGTCTTGTCAACAGGCATAACAATTTTTGCTCCCCAGCATATGTGTTTTTCTCGCCAAACAACCACACCATGATGCCCTGAGTTAAAGGGCTGGTAAACTGTGGAGAAATATTGTTTCAATCTGAACTTGCTGTGCCAAGGAGTTAGGAGTGCATTGTAAAAAAAAAAGATATTGACATCTCTTGGCCTGACCAATGGTTTCATGTAGACAACTGCAAACGTTTCATTGATTGACGCTACCATGTACGGTAGTTTACTCTGCTTGTGTGTACCTGGTCTATTCCAAGAGATATGTTTCCAACTAATATTGCTAATAGATTGGTGTCCTAAATAAATATCAAAGCAAATCAACTAACATGACAATGGCAGCCTTGTAAAGACAATAAGAAAGAATGATAATTTTTTTATTTTTTTATTTAATGAAACTTTGTCATATGTACACTTAAGTAATGGGTTCAATACTGTTCTGATTTCTTTTAATCATTTTCCAAACAAGTATATCAAGTTCAGCTGTTTTCGATCTGCTGAATTCGACAAGCTCATTATTCCTTATTTCAACTTCTGCTTGAAACTGCAGTTAAAAAATACCAATTTTTTAAAAATCAATCAGTTATTTGACAGTGTCCCTGAGAATGCCATTGTCTAGAGCTATTTTACGGAAAACGTGAGCAGAATTCCTCAAGCTTCTGGGCTGGCCTGGTTCCGTAAAGTTGACCTTGACGAGACCGAACTTGACCTGATAGCCTAAACTCCATTCAAAGCCATCGGCCAGGGAACGATACGTGTAAGCCTTGACGTTACTTCCGTCTATTCGAACAGCTGAAATGTATATTGTTATGTTCCTTTAACTCCAATTTTTAAAAAAAAATTTTTTTATTTGTTGTTCATAAGATCTATCAATTTCAAGAATAAATTTATTATCCAGTTTCAGCTTAAGGAAATTTAATTCAGAAATAAATTATCTAAAATACTATACGCCATGATACCTTTGAGAACCTCGTCCAGGTGACTTGTTATAAAGCTGGATCTAAAACTGTCGGCGACGTCCCCACTGGAGTCCCACGCGCCATTGCCAGTGACACTGACGGAAACATTGCCGTATCGTCGTCTGATCACTCCCAGAAGTGTCCGAAGATCTCTGGCGTCCGAAGTCCTGACGCTGGGGAAGTCTCTGGACGTCAGCTTCAGTGTTTCTGTAATGTTGACATCCCGGCCGACGGGCAGCGAGCCGTAGTAGTCTAGG